AGGATGTGGTGGGAGATGAACTTTCCACTGAGGCGACTCTGAACTCAGCTCTCCCTTCATGGGGCTCCCCTGCGCCGCCCTGCTCTGGAGACCCCGTCCCATCCTCAGCAGGCCAGGTGGCCCAGAGGGGCCCCCTGAGCGGCCACGCAGGTGCCCATCCCCTCTGCCCACCTCCAGAGCTGTCCAGGGAGTCTCTGAGAGGAAGAGGAAACCACAGATGGGAGATGGGGAGGGGTGGAGCGCGGCAGGTGTACCTCGCAGGTGAGGTCTCCAGGGACAGGGATGGGTACCAGCAGGACGGGGAAGGGGAGCCCGGGCCTGGGCTCTCCCCCCATCCCCCAGAGCTCCTGGGGCTCTCCAGGCATCTGGGGGTGCAGGGGAACCACGGGGCCTGCGGCAGCGCACATGGCTGCCCAGCAGGGCATGCAGTCAGCAGGCAGGGCAAGAGCTCCGTGGGCCCGCCCCACCCCCGGGGGGAGCTGTGGGCCTTCCTCCACGATGAAGGGGGAGACTCCGAGCCTCGGTTTCCTCAGCTGTAAGATGGGATCACACAAGGCTGGTGTCCATGCCGTGCCCCCATCTGACGTGGAGCGAGGATTTGGGAACGGCAGCTGCTGCTATTAATGTCACCGCCATCCCCTCCCCCAGGGCTGGAGGCTGCATGCTGGGAAGTCATCTGTCTGCACTCTGCATCCTGGGAGCCTTCACTAACCCGTCCCTCATCTCATCCCCAGTCCTGGCCACCTGTGCCCCATGGCCACCTGTGCTCCGTGGCCACCTCCAATCTGGCCTCTGTTCCTCAGGCTCCTGCCCCTCACACTGCTTCATGAAAGGACCTTTGTCCTAGCAGGTCACTCCCCTGCCCCAGAAACTGCTCGTCACTCCCCAGTGCCCGGGTCCTTCTCTCCCGTGCCCTTTCTCCTGGGCTCCGGCAATGAGCACCATCCTGTGTCACAGAGGGAGTTCCTGAGATGGGGACCTCAACTCGGGATGAGTGGGTTCCATGACAAACGTCACAGAGACGAGTTTGAGGACGTGCCAGTCGGGAGCCAGAGGTTCACCCAGAGAAGCGGAGATGCTGGATGAGAGCGTGGCCACCTGAGCGCCAAAGCCCCGGGCCCACTCCCGGCTCCTCTGTGAAAGGAGACTCGGGGAGGAGAGGGTCCCGGAAGGCACGAGGGGTCGGCGTGGGTCTGGTGGTCACAAGATGGTTTATGGAGTCCTCACAGTTCTCAGGATCCTTGATAGATGTCCCCCAGAAATTGGGGCGTGACGGGGCTGGAGGAGAGATGTGTGTGGGAAGAAAGGTGTCAGGACTGTCTCACAGTGCTGCTAGGCTGACGTGAGAGTCCCTGAGAACGTCCTTCACGCTCCATCCAGCAAACTCTGCGCACCCTTCAATGGCTTGCCAGTGTCCCCCCTTTTGTCACACCTTCCCCTCTGACGGCACAACCTCCGGCGCCACGTGGTGGAGCCCCGTCTGCTGTGGAGGTCCTATGGGCTTGAGCGGCACGGCACGTGGGGTGGACCTTGAACACACTGATGTTACTCTTCAGGATCCGGAGGAAGTTCTCTGAGCCTGAGTGTGTGGACACAACCCTGTGTTTTTAATAGGAAAGAGGGACAGCAGAGGTGTGCAAGCCTGTTTGTAAATCAGCCAATGCATTTACTGGAGTGCGGTGGGGCAGGGGAAGGGAAGGGTAGGGAGGGGGTGAGGACGAGAGCATCCTGCTGTGGGTCCTCCACGGGGAGGAGTGGTGTCCTCAGTGGCTCTTTTCTTTTTGCTGCTGAGCAGACACCAAAGTTCGTGTGGGTTAAACGTGCCCATGATGCACCCTCACTATGCCATGCAGTGTTTCACATTTGGGTTTCTGAACTAGGTAGCAAAGCGATGCTTCCCACCAAGCTGTGTGGCTTCTGGCTAGTTGCTTAACTTCTCTGGGACTCAGTTGACTTATTTATAAAGAGAGGAGATGATACCTTCTCAGAGTGCCCTTATGACATAATGCCTGCCGGGCACATGGTAAAGGCAACCTACCTGATCACTGTCACCTCCACCACCAATCTGTGGTGACATACTGCAGTCATCCATCTCTGTCAGTCCCCTCCAGATTGTAAACTCCCCAAAGGTAAGAGCCAGGCTTCATTCCTCTCTGTGCCCTCAGGGCTCAGCACAGAGCCTGGCTCTGTGTGGGTACCCAGGTCGTGACCCCAAGCCCCACATCCCAGAGTGCACCGTGGGGCTGTGCTATTGGTAGACAGATAGGCCGCTGTCTCCAAATAGATAGGCTGGGGCTCTGGCTGGGCCCCTCAGCATGGCTCTAATGCCACAGGGACAGGAACAAGTTTCCACCAGAAGAGGCAAAGTCAGTGCTCAGATTCTGAAGTTAGATGTCCTATATTTAAATCTTGAGCTGTGTGACCTTGGGTGTTTTACTTACCCCCTCTGAGCCTTAGTTCTATGGCTTTCAAAACAGGGTTGGTATAAGAATTGACTGTCCCCAGCCTCAGTTCTTGCTGTCTTGAGCTCATCACTCCCGCTGGCTTGGAACACCTCCCTCTCAGCTTGGGTCACTACTGCCTGTTCAGCCTGCAGGACCAGCTCAGGCATGGCCTCCCAGGGTGACCCTTTCTGGATTGGCCTCCCCCAGCTCCAGTCGGGCCAGTGCTTCCCTGGAACCTCCTTCTCTCCCTGGACTAGCAGGGCTGGGTGAGCTCACAGCTGGGATATTGCCCATTCCCACAGCAGGGATTCACCTGCCAGGTTCACGTAACCTGAACCTGTGCGTTTCCTCCCCCGGGTTCTTGAGGCATCCTGATCCCCACCTGCTCGCTTCTCAGCTCCCCTGCCAGCCGGCAGCTCCCGGTGTCAGTCAGAGCCTACGGGACGCCACGTATCTAGGTTTCCCAGTCCCGGCTCTGCCTGGCACATGCTGGTTCACTCAGGAGCAGGTCGTGGAGATGGGGAAGGGTCTTTCTGGGTGCAGCGCCCATCGCTGTCCCAGGAGAGGAGATGTCTCCAAAGAGGGGCTGGAGGAGTTCCCAGAGAGGCGGGGACTGGACTCGGAAACAGCTGGTTCTTGGCGTATGTGAGGGGAGACTTCAGCCCCAGGCAGCCGAGGGCATCGAGGTTCACTTAGGAAAGTAGGTGGTCCCCAGGGAGAGTGGGCCAGGTCCAGAGGGAGGCGTGCAGGGGCTGTTGAGGTTCACAGAGGGACAGTTGCTAGGGTGGACTGCAAGTGGAGCCCGGACAGAGCTGCATAGTTTCTGGCCAGTTTTCCCGGCACTTGCCTGGTGCCCTCATGTTCTAAGGGCATGGGTCAAGGTCAGGGCCAAGGGCTTGCTGCTCAGGAGTGGCCATGGTTTGTGGGCGTGCTCTGCATTTCAGAGGTTCGCTGGTGTTTCCTGATTTTAACACTTTGGGGGCACTTCCTTTGAGACTCAGTCTGTCCCTCTAGTCCCAAATTCCTATCTCATCATCTTCCGTAGGCCTTGTGGTCACCCTCTGGACCTCAGTTCCCTTACCCCGCCTCACCCTGTGTCCCCAGACTGTCGAGGGAGTGGAGGGGCAGGGGACATGTGTCAGGGTTTGTCCTTCTCTGGCACTGTGTGCCTGGGGGTGTCTCTGCTGAGGCGGGCAGCTCTGGGGAGGTGGGAGAAGTGGACCCAAAGGTTTTTGAGGTCCTTCTGAGGGTGGGGATAGGGCAGAACTGGGACTCTGCTATTAACTCAGTGACCTGGACAAGTCACTCTGCCTCCAAACCTCAGCGTGTCTCTCTTTCCCTCCCCTTCCTCCTTTTAAGGAGATCTCTCGCTCATCGCCATTGGTCTACCAATGAGAGGGGACACTCATTCTCAAACTTCTGACCCTCTCCACCACCTGGAGTTGCGCTCTCCTGCTGTGCACCCCTACAGACAAATGTGCAGCAAGGAGAGACTCAGAGATGTTGTGTGGCTTGCCCGAGGACACACAGCCAGGACAGGCTGGAGCAGGGCATTGAACCCGGTTGTCTAACACAACAGGCTTTCACCCGGGCTCCTCCGCGGGAGACCGGCCCCGCCCACCGCAGCCGTGGCTCCTCCCCTAGGAATCCCCCGCTGGCCCAGGGGGGCCCATCAGAGGAAACCGCATCCTGTGACGGTTGCCCTGGGGAGCGCCTGCCTTCTCTCCACCCCTGGGACCCAAACGGAAGGCAGGCCCCGCCCCGCTGCCCAGCGCAGGCATCCTTGGCCCTGTCCCCTCCATCCCCACTGCTGGCCGGGATCACACCCTCTGAGTGGACAGAGGGCTGCAGTCCTGTCCCCACCAGCCCAGCTCCACCCCTCCTGGGCGGTGTGCAGTCCCTTGGCCAGACATCAACCCCGCAGCTTGCCAGGGACGCAGGGGCACTCTTTCAGCACAGCACCTGTGTCCCTCCCAAACATCCTCCACGGTGCCGGGCCACCGAGGGTTTCCAGCTCACTCACACGTACGTCGTCGTCGTTGCTTAAATGGTCAACAGCTGCCTCTTGCTTGGCCCGCACCCAACACCCACTGCGAGCCGCGCCCACGCGCAGAGCACCCTCCCCCCACCGGCACCGTCGCCCTAGAAGGTGTGCCTTCTGCCGGTGGCAGTGCCTCTGGACCCTGGAGCAGGCTCAGCTCACCTCATACACGGCAGCTGGGGGGTACTGGGGGTGGGCTGAGGGGGTTGGTGGCCCCTAAGCCAACGGCAGGCAGAGGTGGGGGACCAGAGCTGGGACAGCTCCCTTGCCCTTGGGGGGACAGTCCTAAGACCCGGTACTCAGCCGGGCACTTGCCCACAACATCAGCCCGTTCAAGAACACTTTCTCGGTCCTTCCCTCTGTCTTCCTTCGGCTCTCGCTGGTGTCCCCTGGACACTCTCTAGATAAAGGCCCCAGCTCGCCTCTCCTGATCTGCGGTGACCCCACGCGCACACGCATGCTCCCACGCACATAGTTGGGCCTGGCCAAGGTCAAGGACTCGTCACTCCACGTCCTGGTTTCATTCAGCATTTCAGTTTAATCTCAGGATCATCAGCACAGGACGCCAAAGGCCTGGCTGAGCCTCTGGAGGCTGCCTGGACACGTGTGGCTCTCAGCGGGGCGCTGCATATTCTCTGGTTCACCCGGGGCTTGGTGCAGTCTCTGGGCCCTTCCTGAAAATCATCTCTGTTCCCCTCCCCCATGGGGACTGGGCCCCCAAGTTCTCATAAACCATAAGAAGCTCAGAATAAGGATCAGCTGTCCAGGGATGGGCACAGCAGAAACGTCTGGGTCCGTGGTAGTCTCAGAGGCAGGACTGGCCCGGGGCCCTGGCTCTTAGGTGGGACGCATGGTCATCCTGCTTGCTGACAGCTGGCGGAACAGTGCAGTGACCACAGCGAGTGAGGGCCTGGCTCAGCCAGTGTGTGTGGCTGGCACCCACCTCTCAGGTGCTGTGCTCAGCCATCCCAGTCAGGGCCTCTCTGGGTGGCATCAGGATGAGCCCTTTCTGCCACTCTTAGTACCTCTGAGCTACCTGAGGCTCAGGAAATCAATGCCCCGACACCCAAGGGTGGCAGGGGCTTTAGGATCACCCAGCACCACCCTCCAGCAGCTGCAGAGAGATGGCCCAAGCCCTGCTTGTTCACCCTGAGAGGGAGCCCACCCTCCGGGGCCGCCCCCATCAGGGGCTACTGTTTGGGGCCGTGTGGGCAGTCTGCTGGATGGACGGAGACTGCGGGGTTCCGGGGTGTTCCCTTCCACCTCCCCAGGGAAGGCCTTGACCCCTGGGATTGATGGAAGGCAGGGAGAGGGGAGCAGGAGGGCCGAGAGGGGCCCTCCCTGGAGCCGGGCTGGACCCAGTCTAGGCAGCTCCGATGTCATCATAGTCTTCCTGGTCGGTGGAGTCCCGTTGGGGGTTGTGGGTCCCTGTGGGGCCAGGAGGCTCAAGTCAGCAGGAGGCCCAGTCACTGCCCTGCGTGAGCAGGTCTGGACCGCGCCCTCACTGCAGCTCGGGGGCCAGGGTGTGGCCGAGGGGGTCCAGGCAGGCTCCCCCCAGGGGCCGACCTGCTGCTTCTGCCTGAATCCCGGCCTCAAATGGAGCTCACTCAACAAGCCTCTCACTCACTGCGGATCTGCCCTTTCTCACCCCTCTCTTTCCCCCGCCTTCCTCCCTTTCCCCCTTGGGCTGATGGATCCGGTGAATCCAGAGCCCGCCCGGCCCAGCTCATTCACTCCCCAGTCACTCTCCGTCCCCTCTCCCAGGATCTCTCCCCCTGCCCAGCACCTGGGCACTCGAGCTGTTCCACCGAGGGGAGCTGAGGTGGCGGCCGGAAGTTCTGGTACCACTCTCCGCCAGATGAGGTGCTGGAGCTGTCCTCAGCCGAGGGCCCTGCTGGGATCCACAGGACCAGTGACCCTCTGCCAGGACACAGCCAGCTCTTGAACTGCTGGAGCTGGGAGGCCCTCCGGAGTGCCAAGACCCCACTGTGACAAGTGAGGAAATGAAGGCCCAGAGTGGGAAGGACACTTGTCCAAGGTAACACAGCAAATCGCTGCTGATCTGGAACTGGAATCCTGAACTTGGCCTGGTTCAGGGTTCCCAACTCTATGCCTCCTCTAGCCAGGCTGGCTACAGGATGCAAGACAGGGGGACACACAGCTACCTGCAAAAGTTGCCTGGGACCCAGCAAGCTCCAAGTTGGGGGGCTGCTCCTGGAAGGGGCTCCTCTCTGAAGAAAACCCCTGGGGGTTCCACGGAGGTGGCTTGGTGCTGGGGCTGTTGCAGTAATCCTCCCCAGAAGATGTGCTGGACCCACTGTTGATCCTTGGGTGAAACTGGGGGACCAGAGACGGACGGTCTGCAGTGTGGTGTCCGGGGATGGCTGCTGGGACGTGGGAAACATGCAGCTCCTCAGCCCCTGCGTCGGTAGAGAGAGAATGATGAGGAAAGAGGAAGCAACATACTAAGAGGGCCTTAAGTGAGACTCCAGAAAGAACTTACTGCCTATAGGAATGGTTAAAGTCAGGGCCCCTCCATGGAGGGAGGTTGCTGCCCGTGTGTCTCAAGCTGAGCTGAGCTGCTGAGGCTGAGGCCAGGTTGGCGTCCCACCCACCACCTCACCACGACTCCCACCCAGACTCACCTTCCTCTAAAGGGGGCATCTGGAACCTGCTCTGCTGGGCCTCCTCCTCCGTGACCCGGTGCCTCTGGGAATCTGCAAAAAGCAGAGGTGGCAGTGGGGAGGGGTAAGGCTCACCTCCCTGTCTCGGGGCCTGGGAGGAGGCTGGGGTTCTCTGGGGGGACAGCACAGGGAGCGAGGGGTCGGCCTTTCCTGCAGGGCTCCAGCCCCTGCCCTGGTCCAGGCCGACATCTGACCTCAGTCCAGGGCCGGAGCCAGCCCCGAGACAGGTGGCTTCTGGCCAGAGGCCCGAGTGCCCTGCGCCTCCCCCCACTTAGGGAAAAGTCGAGCCTGGGTTTCCCCCTGGGACCTGGTGGCTCCAGAAACGGACTGATGGGGCCCTGGGAGGAACCTGTCCCCAGCAGAAGCCTATGAGCTAGAATCCTGTCACAGACCCTGGGGCACCTTCAGGTTTCAGAGTGAGACGGACAGTCGGACGGAGATTCGGTCTTGAGCACCCAGGACCAGGAGCCAGTCCTGGAATCCAGCACCACTGACTTTAGTCCCAGTGTCACAGGATTTGGGACTCCGTGTGTGTCCTACGTGCCTGAGCTCAGAGTCCCGGGTCCTGAGGACTCGTTCCTGGGGCTCCCAGACGTGGCACCTCCCACCCCTTCCCTGGAGGCCAAGCCAGCAGGCGGGCGGGGCTGGCTGCCTGCTCCCCTGCCGCCTTCTCCCTCTGGCCTGGGTCCGGACACATGCTGGCCGGGTGGTGGCCAGTGCCTGCCTGTCTTGCAGCCCGCAGTCTCAGCCTGGGCACAGAGGGTGCGACTCCTGGAAGTCTACCTTGCTTTTCATGTAGGCTGCCATGTGAATGTGGCCAAGGGGACAGGAGTGACATCTTAGGGACTGCAGAGCAGCTAGAAAGCCGCCCACTTCTCAGGGCCCTGTCCTATGGGGGTCTCTGTCGTACACAGACAAACTCTCATTGCAACTCAACAGCAGAAGCGAGTCTGGCTGGGAATGTCTAACAAGCTTCCACGTGACTCTTCAAGACCTGTGGGGTCCTCTGGTCCACCCATCCCCAGCACCACCTTGGCCCTGCTGTGGGTGCTGAGAGGGTGAGGGGGTCAGGCAGGCCAGAGGGGCATCCCAGCGTCCCCCGCCTGCACCTCCCACTCTTCATACAGACGCAGCCCTCAGGGGAATGTCCAGGGCCTGGTTGTGGCGTTGAGACCCTTCGGGCCAGAGACAGGGGTGGGATTCAAGTCCCTCCGGGGTCACAGGCATTGAAAACCTGAGCGTAGGGTCACTGACAGTCACAGCGGGGGCGGGGAGGTGGTGGTGGTGGTAATGAGGGCGGTTCTGCCCCAGCCACGCCTGTCGAAGGTCCCAGATCAGCTGGGGCTTCTCCCTGAGGTGGCCAGGTGGCCCTGCACTCACTGTAGAAGGTGGTCAGGGCCACGGGAGGCAGGGAGCTGAAGTCATAGTGCTCATAGTCGGAGTCCGAGCTGGAGTTCGAGTCCTCGGGGGGCGGGACCCGGACTTGGATGGGCAGCTTGGGAACTGGGGAGAGAACAGAGCAGGGCCCGGGGTGGAGGACAGGCAATGCGGTGGGCAGGAGGACATGGGGGTGCCCAGAGCATGGGTGGCAGGAAGAGCACCAGGTGGTCCATTTTGTACAGGACCCTCCACCCTGATTGCCAAGGTCCTCCTCCATGTCAAATATGGAGAACTAAATGGCTTTTATTAATTTAGCTAATACTATGTGCCAGGCACTATTTTAACATATTTAACATGTACAAACATGAGCTCATTTAACCTTCATAGTAACTCAGCAAAATAGGGATATTACCATCCCCATTTTATAGCTGAAGAAACTGAGGCACAGAGAGGTTCTCCCCCTGCCCAGGGAAGCAGGCGACCTGGTTCTAAATTATAGGTGGTGCTATTCCGTGAGGCTCCCTGGCTCAGCGTGTGCCATGCTCTATTATAGCCTCCTCTCAAATACATGGATACTGCGTGCAAATCATCTTCCTAATATTTGGCTGAGTTTTCTATTGCTTTCCATGGCATTGAACGCTTCCCAAATTAAGGTGATCGGATCTGCTCAGAATGCAAATGATTCAACTCAAACTCCTGTGCAAACCTTTCAAGAGGTAATTGACCCAATTAATTGAGACAACTGATCCGATCGTCTTTAGTCAGAAAATATGAAATAAAATCATGTCCCCAGAGAATCTAGATGGGGCTCTGCAGGGCAGCTGCTGGGGCAGGATAGTGCAGGAGGTGCCAGTATCACAAAGGGACGAGCTAATTAGTAAAGCAGAGGTTCCCTCTGAGAACCACGATCCCAAGTGTCCGTGGCCCATGTTTATCCAGAACTGGAAAGCCCGGAGTCCCAGGAGGACTGGACTGGCATGTCATCTGTCCTCCAAGCAGAGAGGGACTTGACCTGCCCAGGTCTCCTCCCAGCCAGGCCCTGCTTAGACCTGGGTGGTACCGACCTACCAGAAAGTCGACCCTTCCTGTCCCCCCGCCCCACCAGGTGGGTGACAGCCTACCTTCTTCTTTGGGGATGGTGATGGGGACCGCTTGATAGCTATTGCTCCCTGCTGGGATGGTGGTGGGAAGGTGCTGCTGGTTCGCTGGAACAGGGAGGGCTGAGGGAGGGCGGGCAGAGGTCTACACGTCATTTTATGCCCTCTCTCAGACTTCCAGGTTCTGGTCTCAATGAGACACCTCCTTCTCGTGCTCCCTGCACACACCAGTACAGAGGCACACACATACCTGTTCACAGGCGCACACACACCCGCACACACACACACACACACACACACACCCATCTGGTCTGCCGCTTCCTCTAGGCATGCTGGGAAAATCCTTCCCATCACCAGGAGGAGCTCCCCAGGGGCGGGTCTGGGTGGCCATTGCTGGATCATGCCACTCCTGCTGGGGTCCCTCGGAGGCTCCTGTGCCCCTGGGAGGGCCACACTTGAGGCCTGCTGTGCCCTGCTGCGAGCCACCTACCGTATTTTCCTTTAACTCTCAAGAGGACGACAGCCATGCAGATAAGGGAGACAAGGAGGAGAACTGCCAGGAGGATGCAGGGGATGAGGAGCGTCAGCTCCCGGGACCTCCAGTCCTCCACCTTCACTGTCGCAGACGACCCTAGAAATAAGGGCTCCATTCAGAGCAAGAAAGGAGCGGCCCAGGCGACTCTCCACCCTTCTGCCTGCCTCTCCGTTTTCCCCACAGCAGAGCCACCTCCCTTTCCACCTAACTTTCTCCTCCCTTTAAGTGCCTGGTATACAGTAGTTGCTCAATACATGCATATTAATGAATAATTGACTAAATGAATTTATTGCCCAAAACTTTCCTCCGGTGACACTCTCTGCGAGACTTTGGTCCTTAGTCTTTGCTCAATAGACAATTAATTATTGAGCACCCACTGCGTACCAGGCATTGAATCCCGGGGATGGCAGTTAAGACACCAGTGTTAAAAGCCTCGGGAGGCTGTCTAGATCTCCTCAGGGCTCTCTAGAGGGAGATCAACAGGAGATCCAGTCCCACATAGTGAGACGTGTGCTGTGATGGAGGTAAGGACAGAGAACTTGGGGACATGAGGCCCTACAAGGACCACCTTATTCTTTGTGGGGGCAACCAAGGCTGACTTCCCAGAGAGGTGACTGAGCCGCCCCTGGCCGTGACCAAACCACCAGGAAAGCTGGATCTCCCTTCTGTGCCTGGGATTCACCTGCCCTCACTTCTCCTTCCCTGTAGGTCTGCTGTGTGGCAGTGGGGGCTTCAGGGAGATGAGCTGATGGATCAGGGTCAGGGCTGTCCTGGGGGCATGGACCTGGGAGGCTGCTCTCTCTGCTCTTTAGAGGAGGCGTGCCCCCCCCCCCCCCGACCTCAGAAGTGCTGGGGGTCCGCAGGTGCCCCCTGCAGCCTGTGCAGTTCCCAGCATCTCACTCCCTCCTGTGCCCCTCGCCCACCACCAGGGCCTCCAGCAGGACTCTGCCCCTCTGCTCTCTCCATGAGCCCTGTCTGGGGTGTCTGAGATGGCGAGGGGGACCCAGGCGGGAGGGGAAGGTACTCTGGGGTAGCCCAGGGCTGCCAGGGGCTGTCTGCCTGCACTAGATGATCATAAGAACGGCTGGCAGTGCTCCCCCCGTGCAGGCCCTGTGCTAGCGCTCGGTAAGAATCAATTCAGCGTTAGGGGAGGGGAACTGTGATTATCACCCTCTGTACTCAGGGATCTGAGGCAGAGAGGTTAAGAATTGCTCAATGTCACACAGCTAGCAAGAGGCACAGCTGGGATTTGAACCCCAGGAGTCTGCTCTGATACCCCCCAAGCTACACCCAACTGGCAGACAGACCAAGCCTGGGTCTGGCATTAGAACTGCGGGTGCCAGTCCCGGGCAACACCGCTGGCTGTCACTCAGCCTCTGAGCCTCGCTTCTTCCTTCCTCCGTGCAAGGGTTATGAGACCGCTCCCATTGAGCTGCCAGGAGGAGTACAGGCCTGGAAATAAGGGTGACGGGGCACTGGGTGCAGTGCCTGGAACCTGACCCACTCCCTGGCTGGGACCTTCAGCAGCCTACCACCTGGCTGCTCCAGGAGTGCCCCCACTGGAGGGCATCAGGACTACAGGACCCCGGGGTCTCCAGCCCAGCAGGAGGTCACAGCAGTCGGGGGAGGAGACTCCTGTGAACTGTGGTCTAGTTGGCAGGGAGGGGAGCACAGTGCCCAGAAAGGCAAGTGCATTGTGTGGGGGTGGGGGTGGGGGGGACAAACCACCAGTCCACCACCAGGCTCATGCACGCACACGCACGCCGCACACATCATAGAGGCAACTGAGCTTCCAAGAGAAGCAGCACTCACCCATGGTGGCTGGCTGAACACTAGCAGGGACTTCAGGAGTAGAGATATTCTGCAATCTTCGAGAACCTGCCAGAAAGCACCACTCATTCATTCACTCAACACATTTACTGAGCACCTACTGTGTGCCAGGTCCTGTGTTAGAATCTGAACTAGATAGACAAGTGACCTGGAACAGGATGTGTTCCCATCGGGGACACATGGCTAAGGAAACTTGCCTCCCCCCACCCCCAGCAATAGGAGGATCATGAATTACACCCTGGGAAGGTGCTTTGGTCAGAATAGGGGCTGATGGAAGAATCATCCCTTCTTTCTGTACCATCTGCTGCAGACCACAAATCCCTCTTCCATTCAGTCTTTAGTCAGTTGTGGGCTTCAGGGGATGGGACGCTTGTGTGTTAGCCTCATTACCATAATCTGCACTCCCATGGAGCAGCTCTGCCCACATAGGAGCGGAGATTACAAGGCCCCTTGACGGACATGATCTGATTTCCCAGCTACCACATGGAAGGCCTAGCAGCACCCACGTATTCAGGAAACTGAAGCCACAGAGATTAAGGGACTGTTCAAAGCTTCCTGGTCGATACACGGCAGAGCCAGAATCACACCGTGATCGAGTGTCTGAGCTCCACAGGGTACCAACACCCTGTTTCTTCAGGTGTCAATCTCACTTTTCATACTTACACCTTTGAAATTGGAAGATGGCCTTATTACCTTTTGACAGCATGTCAACAGTTGATTTCAAATAAATAAAAAAACAAATGTTTTACTTTATGGTACGTAAGATGATGATACTGTGACTCATGATCAATATCACCTCATAGATTGGGTATGAGGCTAGACCAAAATGAGCTCCTGAGCGCTGGGCAATGCCCAGATGCTCTTGCAGCTATTATTACTGGTGTCTCCTAAGGTGACTTTTCCCATGATCACCAGCTCTGGGATGGCAAATTGGCTTCATTTCCCGAGCCAACTTGATTCAGTGGAGACCACTGCTTAGCATGCAATAATGCCTTCATACACATTTGATTCATGATCTGAGACTGAGCTGGGCACCTGCAGTAAAGAAAGTCCTGATTAACTACCAATGTCTGCTTGAGCATAGTAAGGGAATGGTCCCTGCTGATCCAGTCTAAGCTGTGGCCCTTGGGCTGCAAGCCCTTAGGGACAGAGATTCAGGTGGCACTCCTAGCCCATCTGGTGGTGGAATGGGGTGCGCAGGGGGAGGATACCTGAGCAGAGGACCCTGGCTGCCATTGACTGACTGCAGAGGTTGGAGTTGTTGAACCGCCAGGAGCAGTCAGAGAGGGTGGCCTCCTTTCCTTCACATGAGTAGTACATCCTGCCTGACAGGGAGTGGGGCAGTCCCTTGGGTTGCTCCACTGTGGTTCCACAGCCCAAGGCCCGGCACAGCACCTCAGCCTCTGAGGAGTACCACTCACTGTCACACACGGTGCTCCAGACCCCTCGGAAGTACACCTCCACCTGCCCTTCACAGGGGTCTATGCCCCCCGTCAGGCGCCAGGACTGGTGCTCTGTGGGGGGAGGGGCAGGGGGCAGAGTCAGGTCCAGATCCTCGATGTTGAAACTCCAGGTCCCAGATGCAGAGAAGAACCCAACCCACCAGCCTCCAGATCTGGGTCTTCTCCCTCCTGTGTCGACCGTCCCCTCTCACCTGCCCCGCATCTGGCTGACCCCTGATGCTGCACTTTAGATCCTGGCTGCCAAAAGTGTGTCCCCCATTCTCGTGCATGTGAATAAGCAGCACTGGCCAGATCAGAACCTGGAGTCTCACCTGGACGGCCCAATAGCTCTTCAGAGGACTCCCTGCCTGCAGTCCCCCTTCCTGCTCCAAACCAGATGACCGACTCTCACCCCGGGTGAGTCCCACCCTAATGTCACCTCCTCCTTGCATTGTTTGGGTCCCATCTCCCCTCCTGGACTGTGAGCAGGGCCCAGCTCTCCCGCACTAACCTGGGCACTAGGCCGAGGTGTTATGGGTAACTCCCTTCTGTGATGTGCCCACTGAGGACCCACTGACCTGAGCACACGGCGCCGGCGTCTTCCTTGTGGCCACAGTACTGGTCTCCTGGCAGCCCGGGGCAGTCCCACAGGTAGGCCTCAGTTCCTGAGCAGTTCACCTGGTCTCGGTGGATGGGCCCTTTGCCAGGGGTGAAGTGCAATCCTGGCAGGGCCTGGACTGCCCAGCCACATTTAAGTTGCTGGCACACCACTTGGGCATCCTTCAGGTCCCATGTGTCGTCGCACACTGTCCCCCATTTGCCGTGCTCCAGCATCTCCACGCGGCCAGCGCAGGGGCTACCTCCATCCACCAACCGCAAATCGCGGGTCTCTGAGGGTGGGAGGTTTGGGGCGGAGGGGGCGGGGTCAGGAAGGGAGGGGCCGGAGGGTGTGGGCGGGGCGTGGGCCTGGGGAGAGGGGCTGCAACCCCGAGGGCAGGACTGGGAATCCACTCTGGGCTGCCCACCCGTGGGCAGAGCTGCAGGCCAGGGGTCTGGGGCAGGGGAGCCGCAGCGCTAAGGGATCCTGTCTTTAGAAAGAAGGGGTATGAGGTGGCCCAGTAAAGAGAGCAACACCCCTAGGGGGACCAAGTGGTGACTTCCAGGACTAGCAAGGGAGGGGTTTGCTCGGATTTGGCTCTCTGCGGTTCTCCCCATGGGGTTCCAGAGCAAGGCCTGGGTCCAGCGTTTGGAGCGATGGGTGGTGACTGAGAGCGCGAGGAGTGGGGCCCGAGGGTGTGAGTGGGCACACGCACCTGCACAGGTGAGCTGGGCCAGCCACCCGTCGCCGCTGCACGGGCGCTCCACCACCCGGCAGAACCGCCACTCAGCGCCGCTGCACAGGACTGCTGGCGCTAGGGCCTGCGTGACGTTCGGGGCCCGGCTGGTGTTCCCCGTGGGTGACCCAGGAGACACCTCCATAGTCGGAAGGACCCGCGGGGCAGCTGTCCCCGCCGCGCCGCAGCCCAGGGCGCGACACACAGCTTCGGAGGCGCTGCTGTCCCACAGCGCCCCGCACACGGGCTGCCAGGACTTCCCGAGCAGGACCTCCACTGTCCCGTTGCAGCGGCTGCTCCCGTTCACCAGGCGGACCCCCAGCGGCTCCCCTGGAAGTGTCAGATGCAAGACGGGACCTCTTTCAATTCAGCTGCAGTGACACTAACCCAGAGTGACCTTGGCCAACACCCCTCCCCCAGGGCTCTTGGCTTCAGCCTCCCAGTCTGCAAAATGGGGCTGGGCTAGGTCACTCCCAAGTCCCTTCCAAGCCTGACCTTCTCTCTGGTTTTCTTTAGAGTCTGGAGGATGGCTCTAGTGCGATTCTAGAGGTTAGGAGGGTTAGGCCTGAGGTGACAGAGAACCAGACACCCAGTCCTACAAACATTTCTCCTTTGCCACTGTCTCTAGGGACACCCTTTGTCAAAGAAGGGCAAACTTCAGGTTCAGGGGCCCTGGCCCAGTGGGGGCCTTGTGTCCCCTCCCAGGGGACCCCTCAGCTACTCTGAAGGTACTGTCTTGAAGTTGGCCCCAGGACTGACACGGAGTTGGTCACACATGGAAGATAGACTGCTGCAGCGAAAGTTGGTCCTCCCACTCCAAAGCCCTTCCTTTGGGAACCACCTGCCCATTTTTGCCCAGGATTGTACCCCAGTGTGCTCCACACACAGTGTGCCCTTAATAAATACGTGCTAAGTAAATGCAAGGCTAATCTGGGGGCACCCCAGCACCCCAACCACGAGTGATTTTAGCTTATTTTCGAAACAAAAAATCCCCTAAAGGTGCTAAAAGCATGCCTTGCCCGTGCCTGCCACTTATTGGTGACTGTCCTTAGATCTCACAGTGAGTCTAATGGTGGACTCCAGCCCTTGGGCCAGGAAGGAGTGGTGTTGTTGGAAGTCAGGGATCTTCACCTAAAAGTCTGCTTGCCTTTTTCATTACCCCAAGAATCCACCTGTTTGGTCTCAACAAGCTGATCACGGACTCCTCCCCAGACCCCCAAGATTGTTTGCTCACCTGCCTCCAAAGTCTTGCTTTCTGCACTGCTGGTATTGAGCTGGCCTGCAGGGCCTGGAGACGGCAGACCTGCAACGAACCAGCAGCCGTGGTGGGTGTGTGAACTCAAGCAATGGCGGGTAGGGGTAGGGGTGGCTCTTTCTGGAGCCTGTCTATATGAGGTCTCTGGACAGAATGTGGTCCTTGGCACCAACTAAAAAATGTGGGGGGTGGGAGGCGGGGGGCAGGGAGTAGAGCAGGGAGGAACGGTGTGGCCTTTGAGGCCAGACCCATCTGCTGGCTGTGTGACTGTGGATGGGTGGTTTCACCTATCTTGCCAGTCCTGGTTTGTTGACAGTGACACTTAGGAAAGTATCATGAGGCTACAGTGAGACAATCTGGAAAATACTGGCCTACGGCAGAAGCTGGGAAATGGGAGTGATTTAGGAAAAACATTCTTGTTTGGAGAATTTGAGAATTTCATACCAGACTTTAGGCACATGCTGGCCTGGGAACCACAGACCCCAGGGTGCTTTTAGATGCTGAGAAACTGACCTTGGCGAAGGATCTTTCCTACGTGAGGTCTTCACATACAGTCTCCATTTACTTTTGACAAAGAAGCAAGGGAGGTAAGAGCAGTCCCATTTTACAGATTCAGAAAGGGAGGCCCAAATGATAGAGGCCAGATAGAGTCCTCTCCTACCTCCAGAGCCAGGATCCATTCTGCCCCAGGAGGCTGACCTCAGCATCTTCCTGGGCCTTTTGGCTCCTGTTGGGCTCAACCAATGGAGAGCCCCAACAGAGTAGGGAGGAAGGGAGGCGAGTGAAGTTGTGGCTTCTATTCCCCTTACTCTGGTCCCTTGAGCAGGCTGTCCCTTATCTGAAGGTCACGACTCCTCTCAAGGTGGTTACCTCTCCTCTGCCATCTCCTGGGTCTCCTAACCATTCTGGTCTTACCTTCTTGGGCCCTGGGAAATAAGAGCTCAGCTGATCCTAGCAGCTGGCTACCACAGGACCTTTCGTAAGTGCTCCTTTTATAAAATAAGCTCCCTCCAAACTCCTATATTTTGAGTGCGCTACCTGCTTCTTGCTGGGACCCTGACTGATACGTGCATGACCTGAGGCCACCAAAGTAGCAAGCAACAGAACCAGCATTTGAACTGTCCCCAAGGAGCTCATCCCACTCTGGCCCAGAATGTTCTAGTTTGCAAGCCTGAGGGGAGGGCTGTGGCAGGGGCCCACATGCTCACAGGTGAGCCCCTGTGCATTCCCTGTTTGTCACACACTTAAGTTTGGGCCATTATGATCTGGGCAGAATGACATGTGTCCACTTCCAGGCCAATGCAGGGCAGAGGAGGTGAGCCTCCTTCATCTTGTGGGATATTAGATGCCCTGGGTTCCAGATGCACTAGGAGGTGGAGGGGGATGTTGACCCAGGCTAGGTTTCGTATGAGAAGGAATAAAGCTCTATTGTGCTATGAACATCTGGGGCTGTAGTGGTTACCACAGTCTTGGGCATCTGGGCCTGGCCAGAAGCAGAAGCAGAAGTTTTGGGCATGCTACTGCACATTCTCAGGGCCTCACCTAGAACATCCCGTGGACCCACGCCCCATGGGCATGAGCATGCACGCGCGCGTGCACACACACCCAGCAGATACAGCCCTCCTGTGAGCGCTGTCAGGGCCACTCCATCACCCCGACAGGAAGTAATCAGGCTTTAATTGCCCTTCCTCGCTAGCTCCCTGGTTGGCTGCCCAGCCTGAACCCTGAAGGGGAAATGGCTCAGAATTCAGAGCACAACTCTGCAGCGAATGTAATATTCAGAGCAATAATTTAGATGCCCACAAGTTGGGATTTCAGAATTCTGGTTCCCACAGCAACAGTCCCAGTGCTCCCGAGTAGCTTTCACTTATTCGTATATGTGCAGGAGGAGGGGGACAGGAGATCGTGGCGCTGGCTACAGTGTGTGTATGTGTGTGCACACCCACATGTGTGAGCAGGAGGGACTGTGTGTTAGTAGAGGATATGGCTGTGTGTGACCTTGTGTGTACTGGAACTCTAACTCAGTTCTGCTTTTCTCTCTGGGTGTGGAGGGTCATTCTCTCATAAGTTAAGTCACATAAGGGTTCTTCCAGACCAGAAAATCCAGGTGGGCAGGGCCCCAGGCTGGGTCAGCCCTGTGCCCTAGCGTGTGCTGTTTGTCGACTGACTGACCGAAGGGAAGAGAGAGCACGCAGCTGCCAGTTTCAAGGACAGCTGTCTCCAAGGCAGTTTAGTGAAATGGTTTTTACTCAGGCATTTTGGTTTTTGTGTCACAGGTATTTTACGGTCCCTGTTCCCAAGGCATGAGCCTGGCTTGGGTGTTCTCCGGTGCTATTGAAACAGCCAGCAAAAGCAACCTTGAGCTGCCCTTCCTTCCTGGCCTCTGCACACAGGAGCACGGAGAGGTGGGTGCTTCTGGTCCCCGTTACCCGTCTTGCCTGGCCCTGTGTTTCACACCTCAAGTTAGTTCTATTTTTTTTTTATGCATTAAATTTATTTGAAAAGAAACCTGTGGATTTGCTTTACTGCCTGAAGATACCTGGACATAAAAATGTTCATTATTAGGTTTTTGAACGACAAAAAATTGGAAATGGAGTGAAGATCCGTCTGTGGGGGAACCTGCGGTCCATTTCCAGCGTGGTGCCTGGTCAGCTCTTATAAAGGAAGACACAGACCCAGATCCCTTGGAGGGATTTTCACGTTGGGTCCAGTGGGGAAAGCAAGACGCAGAGAGGAGAGTGATGAAGAGAAGCAGTTTTTTAAAGGCTGTGCTTTGAAGAATCGCGGGTGCTATGGCTTCGTGTATGTAGAATTAGTTACACAGGCTGACATGCAAAAATACTACTCAGACATAAAGATGTGTTTTAGAGTGCTTGCTTAAAATAGATGGCATTAAAATAAACATAGCACAACTGAAGCCATGTTAGAAGTGGCATGGAACACCGTCATCCTCAAATAGACCAGTTCTTTGATAGAATCAGAAGGAACCAAGAAACGAGGGTAATCACTGAACTTTCTTTACCACACGACGCACTGTTACTTAATGCTAAGTTCATTCACTGCCTAAGAGTTTCTGGTGTGTCCCTAAGAATCATGCTGAGTTGTGCCCTGTGTTTTAGAAAGTGACAGACCAAGAAGAGGAAGGGGTGGGAGAGGAGAAAGGAGCTGGGGCCCCCCTCAGCCCAGGAAGGAGCAGCCCTTCAAGCCAGTCCCCAGCGGAAGCCCCTGAGCTGGACGGGACCCTGGGCGAGGGCAGTCTGAGGAAGACCCCAAGGGAAGGGGCAGCTCAAGGGCCTGGGCACAGCAGGAGTGAGAGCACCGAAGAGCCTCCTGGTCCAGAGACGGAGGAAATGGGGCTCTGAGGTCTCCTGTTTCCCCTGGGGCCCCTGGGATTTCCCGCAAGGGACTTGGGGAGAGAGGAGGTACAGACACCGAAGAAAGCCGAGGCCCCTGGCCTTCCCAGTGCCAGTTCCTCAGGTGTCTTGGGGGCACACAGGAATACTGCCCGGGGAACACCAGCCACGGGGGGTCGGGGAAGGTGAGTACCAGAAAGGAGGGTGGCGCCATTAGATGTCCTGGGAAACAAGTAGGTGCACAATAAATGGTAGCCGAGTGGATGCCGGGGGAGGAGGCCGGGAGAGTGGAGGTTATAGAAAGACGGAGGTGGGAGCTACAAAAAGAATGAGTGTGGGAAGTGTGGCATGTGTCACCTGCCAGAAGAGGAGATCCACAGAGAGCGTTTGTAAGTCCATGCGTCAACAGCCTTTAACGACAGGAGCTGCAGCAAAGCAAACCAGGCCCTTTGGGTCCAGTATTTCCATTTTTGAAACGTATCCCAAAGAAATGGCCCAAATACCCCTCCATGGAGATCACACTTTGGAATTGGATGGTTTGAGATGCCTTTTCCCGTCTAACTGGCATGACTCAGGCAAACCATTGAAACCCTCTGAGTCTCAGGTCATCCCTCTGTATGCTGCCAATAAGAGGTACCCAGGAGGCTGGGCATGGTGGCGCACACCAGTGATCCTAGCCACTTGGGAGGTTGAAGCAGGAGGATCGCAAGTTTGAGGCCAGCCTCAGCAACTTAGTGAGACCCTTGTCTCAAAATCAAAAATAAAAAGGGCTGGGAATGGAGCTCAGTGGACCCTGGGTTTAATCTCGAGTACCCGCCCCCACAGAGGTGTACCCAGGTTGCAGGCTTGTGGTGAGGGTGAGACGAGATGACATTTAATCACTGCACGAGGGAGCACAGAGCTCTGAAGCACTTTGCTTTGGAGACAAAAGCTTCCGGCCGTGTTGTTTCTCATAGTAAAACAACAAAATCCAAAACAAGCAACCAAACAGTAGCCCACACCTGGAGACAACAGAATTGTCTAAAAGTGACTGGGGGATTGGTTAGGAAACAGCACATTAAAAATATTTGCTGAAAACTATAAAGAGTTCCTTTGTTTTAGTACCCGTGATTGAGCCCAGAAGTGCTTAACCACTGAGCCACATCCCAGTCCATGTTATTTATTTATTTTTTTTAATTTTGAGACAGGTTGTTTAGGACCTTGCCAAGTTTCTGAGGCTGGTCTTGAACTTGTTATCCTTCTGAGCTGCTGGGATTACAGGTGCGTGCCTCCGTGCCTGGGTATAAACAGTTCTTAATGACATAGGAGAAAAGTTAACATCTAAATACAGATGGAGTATCACTAATGAAAATTCTGGTGTCCAAATTGAGGTGTACTTCACTGGTAAAATCCACCCTGTGTTGTAAAGATTGAATGAGGGAAAAAAATGTAAAAATGGTTCACTAGTAATTGTTTTCTAGGTAGCATGTTGAAATGACAATATTTTTGATATATTGGGGTAAGTAAAATATCTATTACTTTAACATATTTAATTAACAGCCTCTGGCTGACCTGGAGACCACCATCATCTCAGGCAGACCAGTCTTTTGTGGCTTCAGCAAGGAGACAAAGGCTGTGAGCACCCTGGCTGAACTGCCTCCCAAGGCCCTGGCTCAGGCTCAGGGTATTCAAAGGAGCAGCTGGTTCAGGAAGCAG